ATACTTATAAAATAAATAAAAAGCAATCATTTTTTAGTACGCATTTTTTTTTATTATTTTTATTTGCTAAATTGAACATGAAATTATTACTAAAAAACAAAATACGTTGTTCTGATTTCCTTAGACTTAAAACAATTTTGTCTGAGGCAACATTTCCTCCTTTAGGAAACTGTACTATGAATACAGATTTTCGATATGTTATCGTCTGAATAGTTTACGATTTTGCTCGGTAACTCGGTAATAGAGACTTGCATTTGAAGTAACGATCTCTACCGCAAGCAATTATTTTCTTTAATATTTGACATTCGATACTTTGCGATTGTATCGCTATTAATGCCGAGACTGCAGCCCCTGGCCTCCTGCTTCAGATTCCTGTTGTAATATCTTTTATGGCTGGGGTTCCATAATACTTGCTTTTCTTTATAGGCCTCGATAAATTTAATAACATTTTCATTGTTTTTACTTCACGGCAAGGACTGAAAATGACGCGCACGTGCAACCGACCGAGCGTCGCGAGTGACGCGTCCAGACTGACTCACGTCCGTATCTGTATCACTTTTGATGATCGGACAAAAACCGACACGACATGGGACGGGCCGTATCATAACGGCGTATCGAGATCGCGTGTACTGATACGCGTATCGTTACCCGTCCACATATGCGATCATGATACGCGTCGACGATACGGATACGGTGATCGGATTTATCTTATGTTTGACATTCATCTGTGGCGTTTTGGAACTACACGATATTATTTTATATAGTTGGCAACAGTACACATTTTTGTTATGACATTAATCCTGGAGACGCAATAAGATATAAGCGTCTTTTTTTATATTATATGACTCTTTGCATATAAGCCAGAAGTGATGTAAAAATACCCTGTAAGTTGGTGATTATGAATAAAGCATGATTGGTTGAATAGCAGTTATTTGTTTACCAAACATCTTATGTTTATCATAAGTATCATACATATTTTTAAAATAAGATTACCTACCTATTTCTTAAGTTAATTTTGAGACTGATACTGTAATAAATGGAAGTGAGACTAATATTAGTTCCTAGTTCTGTTCCTCAAAAAATATTGATTGTGATATTTCCTAGTTCTGATATATTTTTTCAAATAGTCAATATACCTAAGTCATTATGGTTAATGCAAAAGAAGTACCTACCTAAGTATAAACTATTTACATAAGCTGCATTTATAAACATGTTTTATGATTAAGTAAGTATTATAAAAATAGTTAATGTTACCTAAGTGCCTTGTGATATTTTAGCAGTACTTTTCCATCCAAACCTTTGTTTTGTTACAAGTCCACATATGCGATGATACGCATCGACGATACGAATACGGTGATCAGATCGGGCAAATGATACATGTCTGGACCCGGCTTAACTGTCTATCGCGAATAACGTCCATCGCTAGTTGACAGGATGCATGCGGCGCTCATTTGACTTAGTCGCATCGATATATCAACACGCGACGCCCCAAGGTTATTGCCGCGCCGCCAGAGGGCGTCGCGACGCACAGTTAGTTAAGCCCTACATTGTAGCATATAATTAAGTAAACTTGTCCATTTGTCATACTAATACACGGATTTTTTAGAATCTTATAACACGCATTTTATTATATAATATTATACTACTCTGAGAATAGTCACTGAATGACATAAATGAGATAGTTTAATCAATGAAATACTTAATAATATTACTAAAATTGTCATGTCAAAATATTTGTTTATATTTTGTGCCAGTTTAAGTGAAACTAGGTATATGCATATATACGAAGGTTTATTAATATTTTTATCTTTTCAGAATCTTCATAATAAAAAAAAAACAAGTGTTGCATAAAGTATTTAATCATTTTTACTGAAAAATAGCTTACGAGATTTCATAGTAAAATCAAGATAATTTTAAATGAAAGTAATTTGTACCTAACATTGTCCAGTGAATAAATAATATGTATAATAATTAAATATAAATAAATTATATGTATTCAATTTAGATTTTATTTAATAATAATAATGAAATTATTATCCATTTATAAATTGTTTAAAAGTTGTAGTTTACTGATTGAAATTTTGAATGATTAAATAAACATTCCTCGCTGGGACTCCAACCCAATCCAAGGGTACTACGATTCATCATAGTTATTACTTGACCGGCGTTATCTTGAAATAAAGGTTAATTAGATTTAAATTTTCTTAATTTGAAACAAGCTGAATTTAGTTTTTTAGTAACTGTATTTTGTATATAGCGTAAAGTAGATTCGTCATCAGCACCCGTATGTAAATCGTTTACATAAAAATAATTTTGGATGATTGTTTTAATTAAATCATCCTCACAGTCCTCCCCAACTTGAGACATAATTTTTGTGCTCAAATTACTGGCACTAATAGTACCATAAGTGACGGTATTTAATTGCAAATTTTTTAATAGACTTCTATTTCTCCACAGGATTACTTGAAGATAGCGATCTATTTCATAAACTTCCACTTGGCGGTACATCTTCAATTAAAATTTCTTAGAAAAAGTATATATAATATACAATATGTCGCAGACCAAATGTATTTTTTACCAAATGTTTTTAGGGTTATGTCTACTAATGGGACAAGTTAACGTTCCGAAAAAATCTAAACTTTTTACATATTCAGACAGTCTTTACTATCATCCAATATTTCCTTTTATAATGTCCACTCGAAGATTTGAACAGACATTGAGAAGCCTGTACGTGTCTCATTTAGGTGCTAAAGGTAAAGAAAAAATTAATAAGTTTATTGATGTTATGACAAAAACATTCCGTGATTGTTATAAACCTACTAGAGAACTTTCTTTGGATGAATCGATGCTTTTGTTTAGGGGTCGTTTGTCTTTTAGACAATATATTAAATCGAAAAAAGCCCGCTATGGTATAAAATTTTATGAATTAACAACATCTGATGGATACGTTTTGAACATAGAAATGTACACTTGTAAGGAAGGCAACGATATAGACAAAAGAGGAAAAAAAACGGAACAAATTGTAATGAGACTTATGAGGCCCTATTTATTAAAAGGCCACTGGCTTTTTATGGACAACTATTATAATTCGGTTTCACTGTCTGAAAAACTATTTGACTTGAAGATACATACTACTGGAACCCTAAGAAAAAATCGAAAAGATAATCCTAAAGATTTAATATCAAAAAAAAAATAAAGAAAAATAAACACGTGTGGGTCAGAAAAAATAAAGTTTACGTGTCTAACACCCGGTTTCTGAATTGAGTATTTGAAGTTGAAAACGTCTCAAACTATACTTAAACTGTACTTAAGCAGTTTTTCGTTTCTGATTTAAGTTTTCTCAAACTATAATTAATATTTGAGTTTCTAAACGACTAGCGTGCTAAACAACCTATTCTGCGTTTCACAACTAAGCAAAACACGCTTGACAGTTCTCAAACCGTTCTTATATCAATCAAAAGATAAGCGTGCATATTCGGTTACTCAAACTGCTCTTACACATTCATTTCATTTCAATTTAACGAAATTCATTACATTTACAATTCAACGAAAATGAGCGTCAGTGATAGTTCTTTGTCGTCTTTGGAGATGCCTCAAGTGCGTCCACACAGCCAACGAAGAAGTCACAGGATAGTAAAAAGTCGAGCAGATTTCTTCGCGAAGTTCAGTGACGAAGAGTTCAAGAGTCGCTTTCGTTTTACCAAAGAGTCTGTAAGATTTATACTAAACAAAATCAAGCATAAGCTAGAGCCAAACATTCAGCGACTGGATTGCATTTCTCCTATGTTGCAATTATTGATAGCCTTAAGGTTTTATGCGACCGGCAGCTTTCAGGCAGTTGTAGGAGACACGGTTAATGTGAGTAAGGCGACAGTTTGCCGTGTAGTGGACAAAGTATCTTCTGTGATCGCCTTATTAAAACGCCAATACATTCACATGCATACTGCTGATGAAGGACCATCAGTGGCAGCAAGTTTTTTTGGAATCGCTGGATTTCCCAGAATAATTGGAGCTGTGGACTGCACACATGTTAAAATTAGTTCTCCAGGAGGAAACAGAGCCGAACTGTATCGGAACAGAAAAGGATATTTTTCTATTAATGTCCAGGCTATCTGTGATGCCAACTTAAAAATACGAAATATTATTGCACGTTGGCCAGGTTCTGTGCATGATACAACAATTTGGAACGACTCTCCGATTGCTGCTCAATTTGAAGCAGGTAGATATGGCTCATACCTGATTTTGGGTGACAGTAGCTACCCATGTCTAAGATATCTTATGACACCCTTCTTGAATCCAGCTACACCTCCTCAAGAAGCATATAATCAAGCCCATATTACCACAAGGAACACAATAGAGAGATGTTTTGGAGTTTTAAAAAGAAGATTTCCATATCTTCAATCAGGCATGCAACTTAAGCTTCCAAAGGTGATGAAAGTAATTGTGGCTTGTATTGCATAACATGACTCTTCATCTTGACGATTACATTGTTCAAGAAGATGAACTTGTAGAAGTTAATGATGAAGTAGTAGCCCAGGCCCATGTACAACATTTTGTTGCAAGAGCATCAATTGTGGAAAACTACTTCACATAAATAAATAAATAAATATAAGGATGCGGAAGGGTAGTACTGTATATTACTTTTTGCTGTTGGACGTTTATTTTAGTTTAATTTTAATGTTTACCTACTAATTAATGATAGTTCTTTAATTAAAAATATAGAATAAAACATTTTTGCATATAATATGGTTTATTTATTCATATTCATTAAATGTTTAGGTGAAACAGCCTTTATTAATCACAGATATTGATAATATAATAATCACTTAATAACATATTTTTTCACTTATAATAAGCTCTTAAGCTAAATCGTTTTTTCCAATTGTTTTTTCAATATTTGCATTTCCAGTTCATGTTTCTTTTGTTCGAATCTAAATCTTTGCATTTCTTTTTTTTTTGGTAATAAGCTAACTCTATTTTTTTCTTAAAATAAATCTTTTTCAAAGCTTCAGCTGGATGTTTGTTATTAATACAGCTTTGTCATTTTTTCTTTGAAGCACCAGTTTCCTTTTTCTATTTGACTTGGGTAAATTAGGTTGTGGCTGTGGATTAGATTGTGGTTGTGGATTAGGTTGTGGCTGTGAGTTATGCTCTGGTAACGAATTTTCTTCAACATTGTCCCCTGAAAAATAAAATTATAGGGATGACTATTTAAAAATATTTCATTACACATACATAAAACTTAAGATCTAGTCCTACCAAAATATTCAGCTGCATCATCATAAGGGTTCACATCAGGACGTATTTGAGCATCCTTAACTGAAAGGATTTGATGATCAACATCTGTTAAAGTAGGTGTGAAGGAGCCACCAACAGTTTTCTTTAAATTTTTCTTAAAAAAAACATTGTTAAGGTTTAAACTAATTTCAAAGTGGTTCTGAGTTATTGTATTATCAATTTGTTAGGTAACCTGGTCATCAGCACTCTTCTTCTTCAAATCTTTTAATAAATTTTCATTTACATTAACCTAAAAACCAATTTATTAATAAATATGGGTATATTTGCAACTATCTAAACCTAAAAATAACATTGTTATATGACATTCCAACTAAATACACAGTATTAGAAGTTTCTCATAACATATTGTAATTGTTTTGTTTGATTAAGAAATGATTTGAATTGCTGGAACAATAGAACAAGTAGGTGATTGACTGATTTTTTAAATAATTATTTTGAAGTGAATGACTGTTAAAATTTACGTACATTTTCATCTTGCTCAGCCTTATTACTAGTTGACGAGTGTGCAATGACCACATTATTTATTTCTTGAATAGACAACTGCTCCAAGTATTTTTTTTTTCTAAAAAAAAAACAATGTTATGACTGTCTTATTACTTTTTCTATTCATGATAATTATATGTAATGTATAAGCTATGTATATCCAAACATCGATTTTAAGATTCATAACAGTAAAGTTATTAGCAAATAACTAAGTTTACTCATATATTATAACTCGATATTATTACTTACATTTTCGATTGCAGAATTTTTTCTTGAACGATGCTTAATATTATTATAAAAATGTTTCAGCATACACTCATCTCTAGGCCCTGTCGTACATATGCTATTATATTCGGTCACAACTGAATTCCAAGCTTCTTGGTTTTTTTTGAATAAAGTATGCTCCTGTTCTCTTACTATTTATAACGTTTTGATATCTGAAGCATAAGAATAAAAGGTAATGTTACAATAATAAATACATACATGAAACATTATTGTAAACAATGCTATAAAACTTTAATTTGAAGTTCTTACTTTGCTATTATTGAAAGTAGATTTTCTTTATCTTCTATTGTATAATTAGGCGACCGTTTAATTTTTAGTTTCTTTTCCATTTAAATGTTTATTTTATCGATTGGTATTGTACTTATTTAATAAATAAAGTGGACAGCGGCAACTTGTTTATTTTCAGTTTGATTTGAGTTGCCAAAGAATATCAAACCGTCTAATATGATAAAAATAAATAGATTCGACAATAGACTCAAAGAAAGAACTGATTTCTTGTCAAGTGAAAACGTAGAAAATCACCCCACTACTGCACACTGGCCGGAGAAGATTCCAGAGCGCGCTGGCTCTAAAAAAGCAAGCAACTACATGAAGTGCAAGATGTGCGCAAAAAAAAAGTTAAGAAAAGAAACAAGTCTGAGATGTAAAGGCTGTGAAGGGAAGCTGGCTCTTTGTGCTGTGTGTTTCGAAGAATGGCATAGCCTATAGTCATTACATAAATTACTATGGGCTATACCAATTAGATTTTTTATGTTGATTAAATTAAAATTAAATTATACATTTAATTTCCATTTTCACCAAAATCACTATAGCTTTAGTTGCTTTCATTTTAACTTGAATTATCCGACGTAATTAGTAGACAGTACATACAAGTAGAAGACACCTAAAGCTTAGAGGTCTTTGGCCAAAATGGATATAATAGTTATCTATCACCTATCTTAAATGATGGTAAAATTTATATTGTTTGTTATGTTGATTAGTTTTAAAGAGTTAGAAGACTTTAATTTTGTGTTTAATTTTTACAAGGTATGAAATGTGATTTAATTTTAATTAAAAAATATATATTTTCTAATAACAACTGACAATATGCCTTTAAAGTTAGAGATAGAGGTTAAAGTTACCTACTTGAGATATAAGGCTGATGTCCTGTTTATGTGCAGGTAAAATTTCTGACTACTAAAAGTTTGTTGCCGTGTTACCATGTGCAAATTAAGAGTAATTTTTTGATAAATCTGATTAAAATCAAAAACAAATGCGTTTTCATGTTTTACTTCAAAAAACCTTTACGATAACGTGTAGTGACGGCGACGTTAATATATGTTATATCGTATATTACGGAAACTGAGTCAGTACTGTATATCACAACGTGATTGTACGTCGTCATTATTAGACGGTAATATTTATGGGAGGATATGTACTCATATTATCTGACACAACATTTATAGACGTCAACGTCTCAAAACTTCGTTTTGTAATGTACAAATAGTTGTGCCAAAATACGACGCAACGTTCATCAACGTTGACGTTGTAAGACGTCGTTCCTCTATCCGAATGCACTTAACAAATACAACATATAAAAACTTTGATAAACGTCAACGTCATAAAACTATGTTCTTTAAATGCGAGTTATTTAACTGATATTATACGACGCAACTTCTAGTGCTTTTCACGTCTTCAGACGTTCTCTATTATAAAACAAAAGAGGTGAAAGTATATGGCGCACCATTCATAGTCGTTGACGTCATAGACTGTTGCTTCACCGTGTGATTAATAAAAAAACCATTATTTTGTTTAAATAAAATAAGGCGAAAGTCGCGGAAACCAAACAAAGTGCACCAAATAACAAAGTCAGCTTGATTGAATGGCACAAAAGACTTGCTCGTATACTTTATCAAAGAAAACATGAAGTGAAAAATTGCACAGAAAACTTTATAAATAAAGCAGAAACTAGCAACAAGAGAAAATACTTTAGAAGCGACAACGGCTTGGAATTCATGAACAAAGATGTTGAGAAGATATTCCATAAAAAATGCATTATATATCATCTTACTGTACCTTACACTTGTTAAAGCGGTCAGAACTATGCTTTTTCGAAGAACCTGCCTAAAACAGTGTTTTTCAGAAGCAGTAAACACTGCTGCTTGTGTTTTAAACAGTACTGATAAAAGCTTTTTAAACTCTTTGACATCCAAACCCTGAAAGTTTTTGGATCACCTGTAATAGCTTACATTCCTGAAGAGTAAAGGAAGAAGTGGGATCCAAGAGGTAAAAAAGGAATATGGTAGGATATAGTGAAAATGTCATTGAATATATTTTCCCCAGGAAAATAAAGTTGTACTTTGATAGCGCTGTCCTCATCGTCACATCATAGAATTTCAATGAAATAAAACGTCTATTATATATGAAGGAGGTTAAAGCTTTGTTTTCGACAACGAGTTTATCAGAGCAATGGAATTGCTTCAGGTGCAATTGCAAAAGCGCTTTGGCGAAATTGAGTTCATGCTAATTGTAGCCATCAGGATGTTGCTCGGCCCATGATTTAAAAATTTACACTTCAGAAACGCTGATACGATGATTATTCTACGTAAGGCCACTACGGAAAATACTCAAAATGGCAATTCAGAATCAGATGACTTCATATCTGTTCTATCTGTCATATTAACAAAGCTCATAAGTATACTTGTGTCTTAAAACTCAATTTCAATCTAAACATCTTTGAATTACAGATGGAAAACGACACAATCAACTTCATGAAATTTAAAATAGATTTTAGTCAGAAAACATATTTGAGTAACGAGGCAGTGCCATCAAATTTTGACTGTCAAGTGGATCGGAAAAAGCGATTAAGTGACCCAGGTACTTCCCAAAAAGTGTACCAAGAAGGCACTTTTGTGAAAAGACAAAAACAAGATCTTTTGAAGGACTCTGAAAAGCTTGATGAAAAAATCTAACTTCTCTATCTAACTAATAATGATAACTTGCAAAAAGAAGATAATAATTTGTTGCAGAATATGTATGTCTGAAGGTATGGGTTTTAACATATATTTATTGTCGAAGTAATGATTTTGATGATAAAGAAGACATAGTAAATAATTTTCTGTATTTTTTCAGAAATTTTAAACACTCAAGATAGAGAGACAATCACTGACTTCATCAAAACTGAAGACAAATCTCTCCAAGTAGTAACAAAAGAATAGGTGTATTACAGGATCAAGTCTATACAAATAAGATTTCCACAGAAAAATATTTCAACGTCACCTTTTAAAACATCTACAACATCTCGATGTACATCTCCATTTATAATTAAGCCATGCTAACCAGAACCATCAAAGTCTGGTAAATCTATTAAGAGAAATATTTTCCCCAAAGATGAAAAATCAGATAGTAATGTATCTGGTTTCACTGAAACTGGGATATGCGGGTATTTATCTCCTTTGGCAGTTGCATCATCATCACTAGCTTCTGATTCTGATATCAATGAAAAACTTAGAAAACGGTAGTGTTTGGAAAACACTATGCGCGTAATTCAAAAGAAGCCTTTAATGTATGTAGGACATCCTAAAGAATGTTTTTTTTATAATACAATTGATACATAAACATACAAACATTAAAATTGAGTATATTTTGTTGTGCTTAAAAAAATTAGAATGAATCGTACATTTTCTGAATTAGAGCATGATTTCGAAATATCATTGTCTTACTCTAGTAAATTGGTTTTTCAGAATATTCCAGTAATTGCTAGTGTTTTACAGCCATTCATTATTGATCTGGATAAATGTTTATTAAAAAAAAAAAAAATCCCATTGCATTCAGACATAACTATTATAAACTAATTTGTGCCATTGACTGTTTGGAAATTGATATACAAAAACCTTCAAAGGCTCTTCATCAAGCTTTGTCATGGTCAGATTAAAAAAGGGCAATACCGTGAAGTATTTAGTAGCTTGCACACCTAAAGGTGGGCTTACACGAGGGCAATAATTGCCCAGGGACACGAATAGAGCGGTCTGGAGCGATTAGTGAAGCAATATGGAGCAATTTCAATAAAATGCGGCTATTATTTCGGCGATATTGCTTCTAATTGCTCCATTTATTTCATATCGCTCCATGTCGCTGATAAAATACAATACAATCCAATGGGAAACAGATAATTTCACAAAGCCTCTGTAATATAATTATAAAAAATAACAAGAGATATTGGTACTATTTTAAAAAGATACGTTATAATATTAATATTAGATTTCATATTATTTAATATTAATATTAATTTTAGAAACAAGTAGGATTTAATCTCCTTCATTGTTGCCTGGGTCAGTAATGTTACCCGGCTGCAATGAATAAAAGTAACCAAGTGGAATTATAGAGTTTACACAAAGATATTTTAAATTGTTTTATTTTTGAAAAGGTTGTAGGTCCAGCATAAGCCGGTTAAGTATGATTTCAATATTGTTTGTATTTTACAGTCTCCTATTTTGACTTCTACTAACTATCAAGAGTGTATAAGAAGTTTCTTCAAAATTTATTTTGTAGTTGAGCACTTCAGGCTCTGAAGGATTTACTTGTTCTTCACTTATTTTGGACCAGTACATTTTATTATTCACTTATTTACGGTTAAATTAATTATATTAAATTTAATTAAAAAATCAATAAATAGGAGTTACATGATAGCAAACCCCCTTATTATCAATTATTCTAATTTAATTTTACCTGGTAACTTAGGCGCCGATTACACTACCCAATCTATCCGGCACGATCCATCGGGTACACTGTAAATTGGGTAGTCTAATCGCAGTTAGAGAGTTAGGGTCCCGATATCGGGTGAACGTGAGCGCCCGACCGCCCGATGAGAGTTAGGGCCGATTTATCAGGCAATGTGATCGCTGTTAGGGTGTCAGAGCACTCAGTCGGTTGCTACGCAGCGTGCGCGCGAGACGTCAATAAACGATAAATAGCGAAATTTACGAACGTCAAAAGAAAAATGTCTTCTCAAAAAGAAAAAGAAACTATTTTAAATATCATTGATTTGTACAAAGAGATGCCAAACCTCTGGAACAAAAATCACCTTGATTATAAAAATAAATCTCAAAGATATGAAGGACTTCGTGTTCTTTTAGAGATTTATAAAAATTTTGACGAAGACGCAACTCTTAAAACGTTAACCAAGAAATTGGAGAACTTGAGAACAGCTTATTTAAAAGAAGCAAAAAAGGTAGGTAACTTTATCTCTTATTCTGAGTGTTGTTGTTTGTTATATAGGTAGGTGCATAAACTTATAGATATTATTTATGGCCATAAAAAGTCATGTACTAGTGATTTACTAAAATATTCCCTCGCCACCTTTGATCAGCTATTCAATCTCGCTGCGTTTGTTTGTTTCTATATAGCACGTTGAAAATGACAATGTCACTAACCAAAAACGACGTATTTTTTACTTTTGACAACATTTTTATTTGTTAAGTATAAACTTTAAAATACAAAGATCCCTGTTTGTAATATTAAAATAACTTCTTTTCGCTAAATACATATGAATGTATACACAGTATATATACAAAAAAAAATTTTCGTCTGTCTGTCTGTTTGTTCTGGTTAATCTGTGAAACGGCTGGACAAATTTTGACGGAACTTAGGGGGCGTCCATAAATTACGTGAGATGTTTAAGGGGGGGAGGGAGTCGAGTCAAATCTCATCTTATCTCACGTTGGAGAGAGGGGGGGTCTCGGCAAATATCACGCAATTTTTAAAATAAGGCTCGGTGCGGGGAATCCCTCATAGAGTGACAAGTCTAAGGTTAAGATCATTCACTAATTCGTTGGAAAGAAAATAATTTCATTCGTACTTTGACATTATACATCACTCCTGATTGTCAAACCACTATAACTCGTTTTATACCAAATAGCTCAATTTAATTTGAATTTACGGTACAATGTAGCCCGTCCTTTGTTTTCGCGCCACTGTCAGCTGAACGTGTGACTCGATGAATGAGAGCGTACGAGCTGAGTGCAGCGACACACGGACAGGTTCCAACCTGCTTTGTTTATTCTTGCAAATGTTTTACTCGACTCAGTGCATGCTCTTATTAAGTTAAAATGAGTTATCAAGATTTTTATAAGGCATACGTCAAAAGATACGTCTATAAGACGAAGAAGTCCTGTCAGAACGATGTGATAAAATTATGGAATACAGCGAAGGAAAAATTCCCGAAGAAAGAAGATTTAATACATCACATTCAACATGAGATTGAACGGCTTCTCAGGGAAGCTACTGAGAGAAAAGTTCGGTCTACTTTAGCATTTCTTTAAAAGGTAGGTTAAATATATTTTTCTAAGAAAATACTTCTTTTATATAAACTTTATTATTACAATTAATAGCATAAAAAAATGAAACAGTGAAATTCTTGATAAAATGTGATAAAATCATATCTACAAAATATTAGCGCGGTCATTTCTTTTACTTTTTTCAGAGCACAGGCGTGCAGCCCACATTGCACCAGCTAAGCAAGCGCGTATATTGCGCAAAGTATGACCCGCACGGATTGTCACAAAATGAGCTTATGAGTTACTGTGCGCAAGTGCCAACGGCTTAGAGTGGCTGGATCAGAACGAAGTTGAAGGAGCAGATGATTTTACTGAAAATCATATGGACATGCTGGTTCCAATAGTCTCTCTCGAGACCGTGCATGATTCTCCATGGACTGAATTAGAGTATATATTCCTTTTTTAATCGCAGTAGTTACGAATTAAGTATTCTATTGTTTAATCTTTATTACACTTGTAGCTCTCAGCAATATTGATTACTAACTAGCCGTAAATAAAAATACGAAGCGAATTTTTTTTTCTTTTTATTAAAAAAAGTCCAACGTGTTTAAATAAGAAACCCACATTTTGAAAAATCTCACGTGAGATTTGGGGATGGGGGAGGGGATTGAATAAAATCTCACGACATCTCACCAGGGGGGGAGGGAGGGTCAGAAAATTTGAAAATACACCTCACGTAATTTATGGACGCCCCCTTAAAGGTAATTGATTAAATCTTAAATATATCTTCTTGTAATTAAAGTTTATTCCTTTCTTAGAGTTATTTAAGTACATTATACCTTTTTATTTTTATCTTTTATATTTTTGTAGGTTAATACATCTAAGCACACAGGAGCGGGATCGGAGGACGTATATGTGCCATCACTGTGGTATTTTAATGCATTGTCATTTTTGGGGTCATCAGCAGAACCTTGTCGTCCCCCAAGAGATACTTTAGAAAACAATGAGGTAAGAAAGATTAATTGCACGATTATTTATTAAATATTTTAATCACAAATATAATTTGTCATATTTTCAACAGTTTAATAGTAATTGTAGTCTAATTAGATAACACATTTACCATTTTGTCTTGAAACGAGACACTACCTTCTCCGTTAAAATATTTCATAAATTTATCTCGGACCTCATTCCCGTCTTTATTTCGCTGGGTGTCATTTAAATGTTGTAATGCTGTCAGCCCATGGGTGAAATTTCTCCAGTCTCCTTCACGTAATTTGGCTTCGTTTATATTTTCTCTATCCACAAATTTTTTTGGTATGTATGTTGGTGCCGATTTTCTTAAGTAATTGTGCAAAACACAATATGTCAAGATTATATCATCCACATTTTCAAGTTCTTGATTAAAAGTTTTGCGCAGTATTCTAAAACGTGAGGCTAAAATTCCAAAAGCATTTTCGACAACTCTTCTCGCCCGAGATAAACGGTAATTAAATATACGTTGTTCCTTGTTTATATTTTTCATAGGGAATGGTTTCATAAAATGCCTGTTTAATGCAAATGCACTGTCTCCAAGAAATACATACGGCATAATAGTGTTTGTTCCTTCTAGCGGGGATGGCTCTGGTAAACTTAGCAAATTCGTTACCAATTTATTGAAAAATGTTGTTGATTTTAATATCGCTCCATCGTGAACAGATCCATTGGTACCAGTTTGAACATATAAAAATTCATAATTAGCGTTATCTACTGCGAATAAAACAATACTAAAAAAGCCTTTGTAGTTGTAAAATTGAGAACCGCTTCCTGGAGGTTTTTCAATAGCTACGTGTTTCCCATCACAAGCACCTATGCAGTGATCAAAATTCCACAATCTTTTAAAATCAGCTGCAGTTTCTATCCATTCTGTTTCTGTTTCTGGCATCTGAAAATAGAATAAAATATTTTTATTGTTTGCAGAATTTTTCACTCTCAGAGGGCGAACAAAGTCAATCTTCTAAAGCAGTTCCCGTTCTGTCAAAAAAAGAAGGTTGATTTTGAATAAACAAGAATCTCTACTCAATAGCGCCGAAAAGTTACTGTCTATGAAAGAGGAAGAATGGGAAGTGTTAGGAAAGTCAATAGGACTACAATTACGCGATTTAAAAAATAAAGATTTAACCATTACACAAAAATTAATTGCTGATGTAATTTATTATGCAAAAAAATTGGAAAGTTGACAGAAGATACTCGCATAGAGTTAGGAACGATTTATCTTCCGTCACAGTCTTTTAACACAGACCATTCTCCCTCATCATCTCCTTTTTTTAAAAATAAGCAGATGAAATTACCTTATTCAATCCCACATGACATACAATCACGTTACTCTTCACCATCCCCTCAGTCTCACAATCCATCTCCTCGGTACCATATTTCGTCACCTCACCTATCACCACATTCCAATAACCCGTCATCTCACCCATCGCCACAATATTATATTCACTCACCTCAGAATAACATTTCGTCTCCTCAGTCATCACTGTATCAATAGATACAACCTTCTACCGAATTTAACACTCAGGGATTTGAGCCTCCCCAAATCCATATACCCGACTCATCTGACCCATTGCATAACACAACAATGATATTTCCAACCGAATCTTCACAATTTCAGCCTCTATCTTCACACATACAAAATGACGGCAAAAGCACTTCTAAGATAAATATCCAAGAATATATTATTTTTAATAATAAACACAAAAAGTTTCAGATATTTGTCTTTGAAGTTTTTTGGTTTCATTTTGTATGTGTGAAAATTTTCTAATTTAATTTGTGTTTTAATTGTAATTTAATTTTGTAATAAAGAATGGAGATAATAAATAAATGGCAGTTTCACTTTACTTACCTTTATATAATGTTTTAAACATTTATAGATAGCCCTGCATGTCTCTGGTATAATTTGTGATAGCAGGGGTTCTGATATCAATGAGCTATATTTTAAATCATTATATGCGTCTCCCGTTGCTATAAATCTAAACGTTACAGCTAACCGTTGTTTAGCGCTTACACTGGTTCTTAATATCGTATCTTGTTTTTTTATATAAGGTGTCACTAAGTTTAATATGTAGTTAAATTATGCAGAACTCATTCTGAAGTAGTTTTTAACATCCTCTGCTTCTAACAAACTTACAAAGTTCAAACTGCACAGTTTGTCTCTAAGAAGTAAGTATTTTTTCACCCATTTTCTTTTTCTTTTATTATTATTTACGCCCGCAGTTAAAGCAAGGTCTATGCCAAATTTTTGGCACTTTGTGAGCGCAGGAGCCATCCTTTCAACGTCACATTTGCATACCAACTGACTTAGGGAGGCGATCTAGTGCAGTGTAATCACAACGACGCCAACCGCCCTAAATCGAGGCCGATATATCGGGCCCGATAGATTGAGTAGTGTAATCGGCGCCTTAGTCGTGACATGGGCGCTGCCTGTAGCTCCAATTATACGAGGTTAGATATTTGATAATATTCCTCGTATATTTGCGGCAAGTCAGTGCACGTTTTGAGCTCAACCTAAAGGGACGTACGTTTTGTTGCGTTATTTAATTTATTAATAAGTTATTGTTAAACGTACTTACGTTAAATATGGATGACATGAGTGACTGTGAACCGTACAGTAGTGGATCGTCTGACATTTACCAGCCTCCTCCTGACTGCAACTCCAGTTCGACCAGTCATTCTGATGATGGAAATAGTCATAACTTGACAACATTTCAAAATCAAACTATTGAGAATAACGATCAAGAAAGCGATCAAGGTATGCAGATTTCGGGTGAATCTTTTACTAATAATCCAGGCCCATCGACAAGTGGCATAACCTCAAAAAAACGAAAATCCGCGAATCCTTCAGAATGGAAACGGAATGTATAAAGAAGTCTATTGCTACTGGGAAATCCTATTTAAACTATAAAGGCCGTTAAATGGAAGAAAGGAAAACTGGACCGGATTGTTGTTGCAAAAAGTATGTGTTTTGTTCAAATTAACGAAGAAACAAGAAAGTTAATATTGGAAAATTTTAATAGATTGAGAGAAACCCATGTGCAAAACGTTTATTTAGGAGGTTTAATAAAAATTGAAAATGTTGAACGAGAAAGACCAAAAACTGGTATGGGGAAGAAACGGAGTTGTTCACATAAATATTATATTAAATTAGAAATTAAAAACATACAGGTTTGCAGAGATGGCTTTGCATCTATCCATGAAATATCTAAAAAGCGTGTAGATAATGTTTCCAAAGAGTATCGTGACCCTACTGTAACTATACCAGCTAAATCTGAGCGTGGAAAACATCTAAACCGACCAAATCGTGTTTCAGATGAATGGGTTTCCAAAGTTGATTCCCATATAAGAAGTTTTCCGTGTCGCGAATCACATTACAGTAGAAATAAAAGCTCTCGTTATTATCTGTCTCCAGAGTTGAATATTAAAAGGATGTACGATTTATATTTAAAAAAGTATGAGCCTGGTCTTGAAGCACCTGCTAAGCCAAAAGTATCATTTGATTTTTACTACAGGTACTTTAAACAAAATTTTAAATACAGCTTTGGGTCACCTCGCTCAGATACATGCAATGTGACGTTCTGGATAACAAATTGAAAGATAAGACATTGGACAGCGATGAAATCAAACAAATACAGTTAGAAAAAAACCTCCACCAAGCAAAAGCCGACATATTTTTTGTTGATTTGAAAGAAAAGAGTAAACTTGCTATTACTAATGTAATACATTCAGCGAAAACAGGAATTGCTCACTTTTATTTAATTTTCAATTTTAACTTTTATGATAATTCCTTTAAATTTGTTACTTTTCTTAAAAACTCATTCATTTTTTATTTTATTTTGATTGTTTTATCTTTCCATTGCTGATTTAAAATTCTAGAATTAAAAAATATATTATATTTTGAGTTTTATTATCTGTAAAATAAAATATGGGAGAATTTTTATTGAACTTTTAAAAATCGTAATAACTCTAAAACTTAGTTATTTACTCTGAAAATCATGGTAAAACATTGGAATATGTGTATATAATATTTAGTAATATAGTTCTCATGCATATCTTTAACAGTTAATTTTTAAAAAACTTTAATACTCAAATATTTACTAAACGAATCAGTCAAAATGCTGAAATTAATTAATAGACTAACATTTAATAAATCATTGTAAAAAGATTATTCCAATGTTAACTAATTTACATTACTACATTATTTCAAATAGTCAGAGTTTTCAAAAAATTGTATGTAATGGATTATCTTGACCGCTAGACGTCTGTCGCCATCTAGCGGTCAAGACAAGAAAAGTCAGTTTGAATATGGCTCCGCCGCGAACTCGATCTTTCTGCGTATTAACTGGCTGAAAATCTTATTAATTGGCATCGCATATGCCCGGAATTGATCCGTAGTAATCAATAAAGAAGATTGTCGTGCTTCAGTGGTGAATTTGAGTGGAAATACTGACTTGCAGTTTAGATCCATCATCTGGGTCTCGCCGGCGTGAACGCTTTGTGTGCGTTGATAATAAATCGCGCCTTCGAGCTGCTCTGGTGTAAGTCGCTGCATGCTTTCTTTCTATCTCCTTAAATCGTACCACGCATATATTTCCTATAGAGTTTTACAGTCCGCTGATTTGATATAAAATTTATTAATAATAAATTTATTAATAACATAAAGTACATTAGTGATAATGTTTCATTATTTACGTTAAAACTTAAGTAAGGGTTTGGTTACTTATTTAAAAAGAAAATTCAAAAACAATTGCGTGGTAACAAAATACGAATTCGAAAAATAGATAAATTGAATTCGTCCCTGGTTACCACAGGCAAAGCGAACCGTTCCAACCGCTCCATTCACTCGCAGTCACCGCCGGACATTTGCGCGTGAGGCACTTTTTTACATCTCCTCTATTTTGAATCCTAACTTGACACTTTCGGCTGTGTCGGTAATTTTGTTGCTCCCAGTATAAAAGCAAATCCATGAGTCAATCTATGTATAGTCATATAAAAGTTGAATGTCCATTTGTTCAAAATTGCAAATATATGTTTTGTAACACGGGCCAGTCTTTAATATTTAGAGCCAGAGACTGATAAGCCAACGATAGCAATCTGGCATTGATTTATTTTTAAATAATTGAATTTTTGTAATAATAAAGTTACAGTAAAAATTTTAAATTCTGACAAAAATTTTTTACGTATACCCATGAAATAACTATATTTGTTTTTTTTTTACTAAGTCATCACACGAATTTTGGAAAGATACAAACGACAGTTGCCAAGAAAATTAAAAGGTATTTTTTGCAAAAATATATCTCAATTATCCAATATGAAATTTCCTGTCTGGAAACAATTTACAAATCTGGAAAAATATTCATAGATGTAAATATTATAAAAGACCATAAACAATATAAAATAATTGTGAGTAAATTGAAGAATGTGAAGCTGAAAAAGGAGCTTTAAACAAAAATTGGTTCTTGCTAATTTTTTAATGAGAACCTCTGCTTTCCAAATAATGTGTAAAAATATGTCGCTCACTGTAAAATTATTTTTGCAATGCCCACTGCAAAATTATTTTCTTAATTCCATGTGATAATACATTTTAGACAAAAGATTTTAGCGCTGTTGCTATACAAACCTGCACCAAAGGCGTATCGTCTGTTAAGAAAATTTTGTACTTTATCTAGCAGGGAAATATTGTAGACTTTGTTGTATAAGGTCCAGTTAAAGGCAGGCATAAATGAAATCTTATTTCATAATCCAGAATCAGAAAACCCAGAGTATGGAGAATGCCAGGTAAATTTAAATTCTGCACCTCGGCAATTGATAAAATGGCAATCGCACCAGGTATGACCGTTAATAAAAAAAAAATCACAGGATTTGTTGATAATTAAAATAAAGCAAATAAAAAGTACAGTAACCATGCACTTAATTTTTTAATTAGAGGGATTATTAAAAAATATAAACAACCACTGGCCTAATATTTTTGCAGTGGAAGTAAAAAAACAGTGGAACTGCAATCTTTAATAAAGAATATGATTATTAAAATTGCAGAATCTGGTGTTACGGTAGCAGCGACAGTATGTGATCAAGCTACATCAAATGTTGCTGCTATAAATCTGTTGTTAAAAGAGACTAATGAAATGTATTTAAGAAGAGGGCAGCTCTATACAGGAGGATTTTTCGAAAATTTTCGAGATAAATAAGTATTTCCCCTATATAACCCACCCCATTTAACAAAATAGGTCAGGAATAATTTGTTATCGAAAAAATTTATAATACAACATGAATGAGAAGGAATGTACTGCTAAGTGGAATCACATTCTACGATTATACCGGGAGCCACAAAATGACCGACACAGCCGAAAGAGTTAAGTTACATGCAAACGTTAATTTTATTTGACAAATGTTTCAAAATAGGGAAGGTACAAAAAAATTAAATTTCTAAGTGTTGATAGCCTTATAACACGCATGCGCAATATCGATCGTGTGCAGATTACAACGGAACGCGAAATCATTAAATTATTTACCGATTCCTAATGATAGTCGAGGCAGAAAATGTCCACTTCCTCTGAAGACTGAGCTGAGCACGCTCTTTTGCATGCTGGTGCATGCACGTGCAAAACACATCACAAAAAAGGAGCTTCGCAGTGGTGCGTAGGCGGCGATACGACAACGTTACTCCGGCGCAAACGTTCGGTGGCGACTGAGCAAGTGGAAAATCCCCGAACAATGAAGCCGCCTAACGAGACCTGAGTTGTGATTGGTTAGCGCGAGTGACTGGCAAACGGCTGGCGAGCGGGCGTGACTTCGATATTCAGGGACGAACTCGATTCACCTTTTTTAATTTGTCTTTGATATACAAACTGAAGTTATAGCACAAGAACAACCAAATAAAATAAAGCTGTACAAGTTATTATAAAAAGTAAATACTTTATAAGCAAGTTAACACAAACAGATTACAAATCTCAGAACATTGCAACATCACCATCTAAAACTTAAACAACAACTGTTTCAACATCCTACTTCAAAGTAGAAGAACATGGAAAGCTCGCCATACCAAGTGTTTCTATCGCAAATGTAAAATTAAGTATGAAGATCTAATTGTAACACGACACTGTATAGACATTCTCATATCAGCTATCATCATTACAGTTTAACTTACTATCTGATAGTAGCGCATGAATGAAGAGGAAGCAAAAATAGAAAAGGAAATACAAGTAGAACATGTTCTGAATCATATGCGTAGAAAAATTATGCCCAAGGCCCGTTTGTATATGGGGATAACTAATGATTGTTATTTTTCGGTTGATTTATTACATTCAAACACCAATATACAGACTGATCATATTTTATAATGTTTTAAAAAAAATCTGATGAATACAACATTCACTGAACTGAGTGATCAATTCGAAATGTCTGCAACATATGCTGACAAGATATTAAAAAAAAAATTGCAAGTATTCTAAAACCTTTTATTGTAAATTTAGAAAAAATTAAAATTAGAGAGACCATCAAAATCTGTTCACCAAGCACTTACATGGTCAGAGTACAAAAAAGGAAATACATTAAAATATTTAATTTCTAGTATTCCCAATAAATTATATATCATCAGGGTATGGAGGCCGGATAAGTGACTCATTACCTGTAGAATTTTGCAGGGCAGAATTGTTTATTAATTACTTATGATATATATTTCTTTTCCAAAATGAGTTGTTCTTTCCAACGAATTGAAGAATTCATTTGTAAATTGGTAGCATGAATTACAAGTAAGTATCGTTGAAACAATAAAGTCTACTGTCAATTTGAGCATCAAAGAGGAACTTTCAACTATCTCGACCTCGATAAATGATCTTCACAGTGACCTTAGCAGGCTGTCTTCGCAGTACCAGTCACTAAACGGATACATCACAGATCTAAAAAAACGTTTTGATGAGTTTGAGGTTAGTATAAAAGGTTGTTCTAAAAGGGAAAGACATCAAAACATTAACTCTAATTTAAATGTCCTTTGTGTATGTAGTTTTTTATTCAATAATATCCTGTTTAGACCCTTGCCGGTATTGCTTTCTTGTCTATAAAGGTTATTGCTTTCTAATTGTAAAAATAAGTCTTATTGAAATAGGAATAATTATATATTTCGATAAAATTGAAAACCATTACATTAAAGAACAAATAACACCAGGGAGATAATTCAAAATATTTACTTGTGTTTTAGGTTGAGCATTATGAATGTGGATTGTTTGGGGGCAAATACTGTCTTTTCTGCATTATTGAAGCTTTGCGATAATATTGGGTATGTAATAGTTTTGAAAAAAGTCAAAGCCAGTTTAAAAAACAGTGTAATTTTTTACATTTATTTAGTTTGCATATTGGTATGCCTGATATGGCTCATGAAGAACTTCTTAGCGTCAGACACATATGACTAACTTGGCGAAGAACCTGTTTAACGATCCCGTTGTTCAAGAAGTATTACCCCCATTCAAAGAATTTTTGAGAGAACACTGCTCTTTTAAAATAACGTAGGTTAACGTTCGACTGATCTTTCTACAATAATTTAGGAAATGTTACACTCGATTTCCAAATTGAGAATTTAAAGTAAAACGTCTCAAACTAAGATCACTTAGTTCACTTCGTACGTAACATCGTTAATTCACAACTTTCGTTTCTGATTTTAGTTTTTTGATGATCGTTTAATAGCAGTTTGATAAAACTAGGACTTTTTGACTTGTGAAAAGCAAAAAATAAGGTTATTGAGAATGAGCAGTAGAGATGTGCTGTACTGGTAAATATATGCAATAATTAATAGATGGTTAGGTGCATATATGTATGTATACATACATCTATCGAAAAAATACTATGAAGAAGACAAATTATCAAATATATTTTATCTCTTACTTTAATGTATAAATGTATAGTATAATTTAAGACCATGATTTATTAATTTTCAACGATCTAAATGTTTTTATAAAATTAATACCTACATAAAAACAAATTAACACAATTATATTAATAGTATAATGAAATTTGTGTTTCAGACCTGACATCAGATCAAAATGTTAATTATTTTAAAAAAATAGTGAACAAATTGACAAAGAATAATAATGACTATGATGTCAGGTATGTAACTCGTTTGAAAAAAGCTAAGAAACTCTCTGAAAATACTACTTTCCAAAAACTATTAAAAAAAATTCATACACTTGCAGCAATGTTTACTTTGATGCAGTTCAGAGAAAT